CCTGGTCTTTTTGTGAACCCCCCCCCCCGGCCTTTTTTGCCACCTCCCTTTTTTTTCTTGTTGGAACTGTTTGTAGTTGTGCCTTTAGAATTTTTTTTAAGACGCTTCTACCCTTCTTGGACTCCTTTTCTTGTTAGGATCTCCTGCCATGGGACTTTAATTATCCTTCTTCTGAGACTATTAAAACCGGCTTTTAAAAAATCGAGAAGTCTGCAGCAATACTCAGCTTTCGTTTCCTTTGAAATCAAGAATTCTAGAAGGACATGGTCACTCTCGCTTAAAAGTTCCCCTTACTGCCACTTTCCCCACCAAGTCATCTCTGTTGGTCAGAATCAAGTCAAGGATAGCAAATCCTCTAGTTTCTTTCTCCACTTTTTGTAGGAGAAAATTATCAGCCACACATGCTAGGAAGTTCTTAGAAGGGCCATATTTGGCAGAATTTGCCTCCCAACATATAACTGGAAAACTGAAATCTCCCATCACTACTACGTCATGTCTCTTTGAAAACCCTGCTGTTTTTCAAAAAATTTCTCCACTTCCTCTCCTTCACTGGTCTTTGACCGTAATAAAGTACTACTCCACTTCCTCTCGTTGATTGAGTGGTCGGTAGTACACTCCAACTACCAAGTTCATTTTGGTTTTGCCCCAACTAGATTGATCCAGATGCTCTTGATGGGACAGCCACTCCTCCTCCTATATTTCTGTGCAGGAATATGTATTTTTGACATATAATGCAACTTCACCTCCCTTTTTATTCTGTTGTTTTTGATCAGTTTATACCCCTCAATTGCTGTATTCCAGTCACGGGAGTCATCCTACCAAGTTTCAGTTATTCCTATCAAGTCATACTTACCCTCCTGAATTAAAATTTTCAGTTCTTCTTGTTTCCCATACTCCTGGCATTCACATACAGACATCAGAGGGTGTGTGATTTGTGGCCTGTTTGTCTTTGTACATTTTTATGAATATTATGATTATTGTTATATTTATTATTGTGGTTATTACTGTTAATATTATTTTTGTTGCCCTTTTGATCAGTTCAGTCCTTTGCTCTTATTGTGTGTAAGGCTTCATCTACCCTTAACTCTGTGCTTGCATCTCCTTCCCCCTTCCATGTTTTATGAACATCCCTGCTATTCTACAAACCTGGAACTAAATCTTGGGTACCAGTGCTATTACCTTTTGAATATCTTACACTGAAGGTGAACAATGCAAAGTATACCAAACTCTTCCTTATCCTGGGCAATAAAAATTAAAATAATGATAAATTTTCATAGAGTAAGAGCCCCACCTACCTGGCTTTTTAGGCATAACCATGCGAGTTGATGAATCTGCTTGCCACCCTTGATCAAGAACTCCTAAAAATCATAATTGAATTATAAATAATTGAATATAATCAGTACCAATAATTTTTAGATAAATAAATGCTATGCTGAATATTTATGTATTTTTCCATATAAGTAGCAGTCTATCTTATTATAGCCTTTTTACCTTAAAACATTTGAAGTAGCATGTAGATAGAATCTGTTCATTTTAAATGGAAAGAAGCTTAGATGTTTGACAATTTTTCTATCACTTTAGATTTTCATTTTAATTTGCGCGATGTTAACTAAGAAAGGGCTGTTTAAAGTATTTTACTTTCTAAAGGCATTTTATTATGTGGCATTAAATGCAACTGCCGACACAATTTTTTAGTGGCATGTCATTCATTTTGTTTGTACTCCAAATCCCAGAATTGTCCAACAATTCCCCTGGCAGAATTCCAGCAGTTGTAGCCTACAAAGAAGTACCTGAAGACCCCTTTATATCAATCAACACTGAAAGAATAAGAAAAGTTAAAGTGCTAGGAGGAAGGAACAGGCAGAAACGTAATATAGATCAGTGGGAAAACAGGGTATTTCTTGATTTGTGCATCTACTGTGGATGAACACCAGGTTAATCTCGTATGTATAGCACTCCTTTATCATTCAGTTTAATCAACAGTTTTTCAGTACCTTTTACTGCTTCCTCTACAGGAAGCCCCACAAAAGCTGCAAAGTCATCTGCACATATTGAGGTATATGCTTGAGAGACAAGTCCAAAAGCTCGCCGCCGAGTTGCATCTGTTAAGAGGGACAATTGTGAATTATCTGATGAATCAGATAAAAGAAAATACATGGTTTTGAAATAAAGAATCAGATTTTCACTATCTTGCAATACAATGCAACAGCATTTCCCTATTCACCCCTATATATTAAGAAAAATGTATATGTGAGAGAGACGAAGAGAGAAGGAAAGAGATCTAGAGGAGAAGCAACATTCCAATTAGTCCATTACATAAGCCAAAAAAGCCCCACCTTTTTTAAAAGAAAGAAATGTAACTTTACAAAGACAGCATTTTAAAAGACTTACATATTAGGATCTTCATGCTAATGTGCAAATAAGTGGGTTTCCCAGCAGCCTGAAATGGGCAAAGACATGTCTGTGTTTGCTGGGTGTCTTGGGAAAAATTTCTTTCAGGATATTTGGCTGGAATATAAGGATCAGGAGGCATGTCCTCAGAGAACTATTAATGTAAATTGTATCTTCTAATAATCAGTACTCTTGCAGGTTGTGGTTAAGTTCTATGGGGCCTGAACGCAGAGTCCTAGAGAACAATTTCTTTCTTTCCTTGGAGAGGTAAGAAAAAGTTAAGAAATTCCAGAATTAGGCTCCTGCTAGGCAGGTCTGTGAAGGGAAAAAACTAAGTCGGTTGGTGTGTGTGTGTTTTCTTCAGAGCAGATAAAGAGGTGGTCAAGCACTTGTGGCGCAGTGGTAAAACTGCTGTACTGCAGCCAAAATTGTGCTCATGACCCGGGGTTCTAGGTAGCCAGCTCACGGTTGACTCAGCCTCCTATCCTTCCAAGGTCAGTAAATTGAGTACCCAGCTCACTTGGGGGGGGGGGGACAATGCGTAGCCTGCATAATTAACTTGTAAACCGCCCAGAGAGTGCTTGAAGCACTATGGGGCAGTATATAAGCAGCACGCTTTACTTTGCTTTTGTTGCAGCAAGTGATCTAGGGATGTTTGGGATTACTAACAAACCACCTCCCGGTTTGTTTGGGATTATCAACAGAATATCAGCAAAAGGGACAACAAACTAAATGTGGGCAAAACAAAGTACTATTTCTTTGCTCATCTGTCCCTGGCTCTTTCAGCAAAACACAGTTAGAGCAAGTCATAGATTATTGTTGCATGAAAACATGGCTATCGTCACATAAAAGCAAGCTCATGCACTGTGTTGTTACAGGATGCTGCTCAGCAGACACGGAGATTACTCCAATTATTTAATAGGCAAAATTTTCATCCAAAGGTTTTGCCGCCCACAGCAACTTTCAGTGCAACTAGATTTCATCTGACAGCCAACAGCTTCAATTTGCATCCTACAACATTGAGAAAGAACCCCTATTGCAAATGCTATTCTTCAGTTCAGAAGGTCTAAACTGCTTACCCTGGTATGGTGACCTAAACATTTTTTTCCAGCTGGCATTTCTTCCTGTAGTGTCAGAATAACTTTGTCTCAATACTGGTAACACTCAATAATGCCTCAACCAGTTTCATTCATGAAAACATTGGCCAAAAATCAACAATTAAAAATAAATAAAATAAAATATTGTAAGCCAAACCTGTTAAAATACATATGCATCACGCCAAGAGAAACTAACTAAGGTGTATAGTACAAAGATGTTAACTACCTCTAAGTGCTTCCATGATTGGCTGGATAGATTCAGACCACTGATGTGCAGCAATTGCTGTATAAATTCCAGGAAAATCTCTCTGCCAGATTCTCTGTCCTACTGCCCATATTGCACCAAGTTCAGGATTTGCCTACAAAATAATGAGTTAGAAAAAGTCAATTTATGTTTTTAGGAAACAACCTTCAAGCCCCTCCCCAATTAAAAAAAACTCTTAATAGGTAATACCTCTATTAGACTTTTTAAAATATAAAAATCAGGTGAGCTTTCAATTGCTCTTCCTTGTGCACTACAGAGCTTGGGAGAAGAAAACAGAGCAAAAATTATCTCGCTTAGATGCTGAAACCTTGTCATCTCTAAATCATAAAATGGAGATCAAAAAAGTATAAAACCACACAAATTCCCATAGCAGTTCCGTTAATCTGGAGGCAGATTTTGTCAAAGATGGAACAGTTGTGTGTGGGCACAACGTTAGTGACTAGGCTGGGTCCTCATTTTGAATGTTATGCCTAATATCATGCCTGTAGTCTGTCTCTGTGTGGGATGTTACAGTAACATACAGAGACAGACTACAGCCATCAGGAATATAACCTACAGATTATAAAACTACTGTAGCTGGATGTGTCATGATACCATTTTTCACTTCAGATGATACATATTCCAATGTGCTTTTCAGTCTCCAGTATGGATCTTTCCTTTAACTACAGATGCTCTTTTCTTTTTCTCTAGTCAAACTGTTCAAAAATATACAATAATGCATTTGGAGGAAAACTCTCTATTGTTATTTGTACTTCTTCCCCGTTTCTTTAAACATTGTTCCAAAATTTCTATATTACTTCACACTTCCACTACATTTAGCAATAAGTACCTACATTTTGTCCACATTTCCAGCATATTTTTGAGTATTTAGAATCCATAAATAGTTTCACATGTCTGAAATGCCATCTTAGTATCAATTTATTTAAAAAAATCTTTATTCAGACAGACATGGATTTTAAAATTTGCTTTTTCCATATACTGTTTCACATGACAATACTTATTTCCTTAAAACGTGACAGGAAACCTGTTTCCCATCATGCTTTAAGAACACTTTGTTGATTTTATACCCCTGACAATACCTTATAAATCTTGGCTACCATCCCTTTCATTGTTTTATCTTTCCGCCATCTTTAAATTTTAATTTCCTCAAATTTTATCATCTCCAGGCATTTGCCATTTTGCTTTCTCCATTCTCTCCTCCAATGACCTAACAGAATTGCATTAATCCATGTTATCTTCTCACCTTACAACATTTTCTTTTTTTTCCCCTTAGAATCCATTTTCCCTAATCATTCTTTTAATCTATCTATTTGTTTCCTTTTCAAAAAATTCTGAAAGGCTCCTTTCAAATTTTCTGGAAACTTCTCTAATTTACCTACAGATGTTAAAGGAGAAGTTAATGGGGAAACTATTTGTCTATGTTTAGTCCAGGTTTACAATATATTTTTCAAAAAGGGATTTTCCAATTCTTTTATTGAAACATTATTTCTCCTAAAAATTATACAGCATTGTCTAGATCACCCTTTAATTCTTGCATTTCGAAATTAAACCAGATCAGAGTATCTGGGGAAGATATAATATTAGTAATAAATCTGAAATGATTAGCAACATAACTACAACAATGTCTATTAACTATTAATAGTAATCAATATTAGTTTTTTAAAACACCAGGCAGAGTCAATCAAAACTATAAAAACATTGAGTTGTATTATATAACAGATACAAGTTTTAACCAAAAACCTAGGCATCTGTTCAATATTGGGGCAATATGTATGCTGTTCCAAATATTGCCATTGTTGTAGCTCTGATTATGGTATTTCTGAGATCTGCAACTGTTTATAGTAGTGTGTGAAATTTCTTGATATTGTTCCCAAAGCTGCAATAACTATGGGGATTGTTGAAGTGTGTTTCATCCACAAGTGAGATGCTTCAATTGCAAGGTCTCTGTATTTTGTTAGTTTTTCCAATTCTTTATTTTCAACTCTGGTATCCCCTGGAATTACAATGGCAATGATGCAGACATTTCTTCATTCAATCACTAGTATGTCTGGTGTGTTATGTTCAAGATGTCTATCAGTCTGGATCTGGAAATCCCACAAGATCTTGACTTCCTCATTTTCTGGCACCTTCTCTACCTGATGCTCCCATAGATCTTTGGAGGCTAACAAATTTAAATGTGACACCTTCTCTACCTGATGCTCCCATGGATCTTTGGAGGCTAACAAATTAAAATGTCTGCATAATGACCAGTGCACTAATTTCACCACTCTATCATATCTAATTTTGTCATCTGCTCATGCAATCTTTGGACATTCGCAGATGAGGTGTGACAGTTTCATCTTTTTCTTGGCAGAGTTGGCATTTCCTGTTAGCACTAATTCCTTGAATCTTAGCTTTCATCACATTGGTTTGGAGTGCTTGTTCTTGTACATCCAAAATCAAGACTTCTATTTATTTCTTAATGGCCCCCAGTTTTAGCCATGTCCATATTGATTTATTTTTATTTCCATCAATATTTCTCAGGTGTTGTCCATGTAGTGGTTTATTTTTCCAACTCGTTTATTTATTTTTAAATTGTTGCTTCTTATGAAGGTTCAATATAAGAAAACAAAGGCTCAGCATAAGAAACAACAGTTGGTGATTGGTTGGTGGCAATGATTGTTGTGGTGGTGGTTTTAACTACAGGTCCTGAAGCTTCAACCCATAACAAAGTTTGGGTTTTTCTGACCCCATAACCTGTGCAATGTATCCAGCTAGAGTCCTGCAAGCCTCCAAAACATACCTTACTTCAATATTGTGGTGTTGCAAATAATTCATTTTTTTCCAGATTTTGGAATTATTGCCATAAATTATAGCCACTATTACTATTAATTGTTGACAGAAACATGGAGAAAAGGAGTTTCTGGCACACAGGATGTCAGAAGGGCTGCCTTGGGTTGCACCTCATTTTGTCTTCCAAAGAACTGCCACTGTGTCCAAACGGCTGCTTTTGTTTTCCAGATAAATGTGGTTCTTTGCATCTGTTTTTCACATGCTTTTCCTTTACCCCTTCCTGAATTTTTATGATTTTTACTTCTGTGGTCACATTTGCTTTTAAAAATGATTATACCACCACATTTCCTGTTTGCCACACTGAATGTTTTATCTGGGAGTTAAATTCCCCACAGTGCCTTTAGGGAGAAGAGCCAGCCTGTGTAGCTTTCAACAAGTGGCACAGTCCCAATGGACCCTGGGAGTTAAATTCCCCACAGTGCCTTTAGAGAGAAGAGCTAGCCTGTGTAGCTTTCAACAAGTTGCGTAGTCCCAATGGACCCCTAGAAGAACTGCTGGATAGCTCAGTGGTTTCATTATCTGGCTGCGGAGCATGAGTCTGGGATTTCAATTCCCCATTGTGCATCCTTGATAGGAGCTGGCCTTGATGATCCACAGGGTCCCTTCCAGCTCTGTAGTTCTAAGGTATTATTATATAAGAGGAACAGTTAAACAACCTCTGAGTACTCTGTGTTTAGAAAATCCAGAAAAGGCTTGTTGTAAGTCAGAATCACAACATTCTTATTTCAAGTGGATTCCAACACAATGCAGAATTTAGAGAGTTAGGCAACAGCTTCCTTATTATACATCTTAACCTCTGCCTGGAGAAGTAGTAATTGTGTGCCATCATGTTAATTTAAACTTATGGCAACCCTTCCCAGGTATGGCTGATACACAATTCTCAGAAGCAGTTTGTGACTCCCTTCTTCTGGGACATTCTGGGACCATGCCGCTTGCCCAAAGCTACACAGGTTCTCTTACAATCGTGAGAAATTGAACTAAGATGCTCCTGGCTCAATGAGCTATGCGGCCGACCTCCTATGTTTAAGAGTTTAAAGATTACAAATCTAGAATACACACTGCACAAAATAAAATTAACTTATTAATCAGAATGACAATGTCATACCTGGCAATAATATGAGTAGCAGCCAACCTTCCATTTTGGCTCTGTAGCTACAACTTTTGGGAAACACAAACATAGATTTATGATTCTTCCCATTCTCACAGTTCAGAAAAGTACTTACAGACTTAATAGCAGGAGGAATCCTCTTCCACAAATACCGTGCATTATTCCTAAAACAATACACAATTTTAAAAATGAGAATAACACTCAAAATTATTTTCACCAACATGCATTATCAGAAGCCAATTTAATGGGACAGATATTTGGCTCAAACCCCTCCTGATATGTAACACTTTATGAGCAACAGATAAAAGTTTTTAAAATCATAAAATGATGGAGTTGGAATGGCCCTATATGGCAACTGAGTCCAGTTATCTGCTCAATGCAGGAGTCCAAGTTAAAGTGTATCTGACAGATGGCTTTCTAATGTTTTCCTGATATTCAACCAAAACGTGAGCCCATTATTACATGTCCAACATTCTGGGATGATCGAGAACAAATCATCCTCCTCCTCCTCTGCATAATCTCTCAAGTAACTGAAAAATGTGATCATATCTCCCCTCAGTCTTCTTTTTCTTAGGGCTAAACATACTCAGTTATTTCAGTCTTTTCCTTCATTGAAATTGTTCCAGTTCGTCAGGATCCTTCTTAAAGTGTGGTGTCCAAATCTGAACACAGTACTCAAGTTGAGATCTAACCAGTGCTCAGTAAAATGTAACTTTTTGGCCTTTTTGAAGATAGAAACACTAGCCCTTCTCCAATCATATGGCACTTCACTCATCCTCCATGATTACAAGAAAATAATAGACAATGGTCTTTTGTTTTTTAATATGTTTTTTTCTTTTTGAATTTTTTTTGCCATTAGTTTATCAAGCTGCAATCTTGTCACCTGCATTTGAAATTCACATTTGCCAGGAGGGTCATTAGACTGTCTTTTGGGAAAAGGCCAAGCTAAAGTAAGAGTGAAGCACTTCTGCCTTTTGTTATTTGTTATCATTTTTCCATCCCTACTGAGTAGTTGTGCCATTGTTTCTTTTCTCTGTCTTTTGTTATGCATGTATGTGAAGAATGTTTTTATTTGGTTGCTTTTAGCATCTCTTGCTAAGGTCAACACATTCTCACCTTTTGCCTTCCTAACAACCATCTCTGCAATTCTTTGCCACCTGTCTGTGGCACTCTTGTTTTGTAGCATGGCCTTCCTTCCATTCCCAATGTGTGGCCCCTTCCCCCCCCCTTTTAGGTTCTCTCTGACATTTTTTGAAGCCACATTGTTCTTTTTTGATGTCTTTGTAGTTGTTGGAATTGTTTGTAGCTATGCCTTTAAAATTGTCTTTTTTTAGAAACTGCCACATATCTTGAATCGATATTCTTATTAGGATCTCCTGCCATGGGGTCTTACTTATAACTGATCTGAGTTTATTAAAATTGACTTTTCTAAAATCCAGTATACACATATGGCTATGCTCAGCTTTTGCTTCCTTGAAATTCAAGAAGTCCAGTATAACATGGTCACTTTCCCCAAATGTTCCCGTTACTGCCAAATCATCCATTAAGTCATCCTTGCTGGTTAGAATTGAATCAAGAATAGCTACTCCTCCTGTTTCATCTTTTACTTTTTCTAGGGAAAAAAAATTATTAGCAACCCAGGAATTTCTTGGAAGGGCCATGCTCAGCAGAATTTGCCTTCCAACAGATAACAGGGTAACAAGTTTCCCATTACATTGTGTCCCTTTGAAATTCTTGCAATTTGTTTTTCAAAAGTTTCATATACATCTTCTTCTTGATTTGGTGGTTGTTAGACTCGAATGACCGCATTCCTTTTGTTTTTTGCCCAATTATATTAATCCAGATGCTCTCAATGGGATAGCCCAGCTAATTCTCCTGTATTTCTATGCAAGGATATGTATTTTTTGGCATATATTGTCTACTACTTTCCTTTCTATTCTTTCTGAACAATTTATATCCTTTAATTATTGTATTCTAGTAATGGGAATGAAGTATATTTATGTCCTCCTGAACTAAGATTGCCAGTTCTTGTTTGTTTCCCAAACTACTAACTTTCATACACAGATACTGGAGATTATGTGATTATTTGTGGCCTGGTTTCATTCCTACATTTTTACAAATGCTATTACTTGTGTCCCTTAGAGCTTATTCTATTCCTCTTTTGTGCATAAGTCTTCATCTGTATTTCCCTCTGAGTTTGCATCTTTCTCCCCCTTCCAATTCAGTTTAAGTCCTCTTGATGAAGTCCTTCATGCTGGCCAAACACATTCTTCCATCCTATCTAAATGCACAATAATTGTATGAGCAGCTTCAAAGTATATACAGTATACTCTGGTGACCTCACTCTCAGCCCTCCCACACTCTTGAGCAGATTGCCCAAAAGAGTTCTGGGGTTCATTTGTGATTCAGCTGTTAATCTCCATCTCTTATGGAGTTTCTTCCTTGTGCTGCTGCATTAACACAACTATAAGCTTTCATGACCTAAATGGCCTTGGGGGGGCAATTGAGGTGTCATTCTTTGCCTTGTTACTAAACAAATAAAGGTACTAAATACCTGCCCTTGTTTTAATCTTTTCTCTAAAGATAATCTACAACCACAATTAAATGTTATAAAAGAATAACAACTGTGCAGAATTCTCTTCTCAACTCCAGGTGTTCAAAAGCTCTTAGAGAGCTTTTGGACACAATCTGTCTTATATTATAGCCACTAAAAAGACTCTTTTACTTACATGTCATTATGCAAAAGATACAAGGCTAGGAGCTGGGCATATACAGGTGGTGTTGCAATTCCTCCAGGAGCCTTAAAAAATTTAAATTGATTTAGTCACACAGTATGGAATACACAGTGAACACACAAAGGTTTTGCTAGTCCCACCTCTCATTTAATTCACAGAAAACACAAACAATTTGTTGCTCCCTTTGATCTGATATATTCTCTTCCAGTGTCCAGGTGCTATGCAGGTTAATTTTACAAAGAGACTGGATGCATGTGCATTTTTCTCTTGTACCTCTCAGATCTCATCAGTTCACAAGGTCTTAAAATGAGAAAAGGCCAGTGGAAACACAGGATCCAAGTTCAGTAACAAAGTGCAGAAACAATCCATGTGTTTTTTTTCTTGGTGCTCCTGGCAATGAAACAGTATCTTCTGTGTGATGCGAAGAATACTTTAACTATACTGAAGGGAGACGCTATGCTGGATGAACGTGCATGTCCATTGTCTGAGGATTCATACTCCCCAACTACTAGCTGTCAAAACTAATTCCTATTTATTTTACTTAATACAACATCTAAGTTATACCTACTGATTAAAAAAAACCAACTTGAATATCTAGAGAAAACAGGCCTTCCTCTAACCATATGGTCTCTCCCACTAACATCAATACTATTCACAGGATAGAAACATGAATCCTGAATTCAGGAAGTATCACATACTGGAACCTAGTTCCCATTTACACTTAAAGTGGCTGGGAAAGCACATCTCCATATTCCAAAGCTCGAGTGGTTACTGCACTAGATACCTCTCCTGCTTGCAAGGCTTGGGATCTGTCAAAAAAAAAAATCTCTCCTGCTTGCAAGGCTTGGGATCTGTCCAAAAAAAATACACAAAAAGAAATCATTTGCTTCACCCTATACTACCTTACAAAGGGATGTGGTGGCACTGCAGGTTAAACCACAGAAACCTTTGTGCTGCAAGGTCAGAAGACCAGCAGTTGTAAGATCGAATCCACGCGACGGAATGAGCTCCCGTTGCTTGTCCCAGCTCCCGCCAACCTAGCAGTTCGAATGCGAATGCAAGTAGATAAATAGGGACCACCTCGGTGGGAAGGTAATGGCGCTCCGTGTCTAGTCACGCTGGCCACGTGACCACAGACAAAACAATGGCTCTATGGCTTGGAAACAGGGATGAGCACCGCGCCCTAGAGAGATACGACTAGACTAAATGTCAAGGGGAACCTTTACCTATACTACTTTACTAGATCCAGTGGTAACAAAAAATTCCCATCAATTACATCAGCTACCCTAACTAGGCATTCCACAAAACACTGACTAAGTGTTATCTGACTAAGCTGTAAACTTGGGCGCAGACGTCATTATCCTACAGTCCTTCCCCAAAGTATCAGGGAAAATCCAAATGAAAACAAAAAACAAAAGAAAAACAAAAATGTTGTGGCACTTTAAAGACTAACCGCTATATTTTAATGTAAGCTTTTGTGGAACATGGTCTATTTCTTCAGATAGATGAATACAGAGACTTCATATGCAAGGCTCTAAGAGGCAAAGGTGTTTGGTTGCATTTCGCACCTTGTTTATGACCTCCTGTTTTGAAGTCTCATTCTATAAACATTCCAGCAGGAAACACAAAACAAGACACACACACAAAAAAGGCGGCGCGGCACTTTAAAGACGAGCTGCGAGCAGTAACGTTGCTGAAGTCTCTCGTCCAGCTCCTATGTCTGAAGAAATGGCTTATGTTCCACGAAGGCTTACACATTAACCTTTAAAATGCCACAGCGTCTTTATTTTGCCTTGGTTTGGGGTTCCTTGTCGAAATGCTTGCGCAGACTAACACGGCGGCAACTCCGAAACAGGGCCTCAAACTTTGCCACGGGACGGGGAGCTGGAACCGCCGCCCCCCCCCCCGTTGGCCGAGAAAAGAGCCCTCACAGCCGCGGAGCCCGTGCCTTGGTTTATGAGCCCGACCTTGTCGTGGAGGGCCTGCCTCGGGCTCGTCTGGAGGCTCTCTTTCTTTGGGGGGGGGTGAGGGGGGTCATGAAGGGGGAATCGCCGGATCACGGAAGAGCAGCCCTGAAGGGGCCAAGACCTCTTTCCTCTTGCCCACAGAGGAGGGGGGGCTGGCAGGAGAGAAACAGCCCCGGTCGGCACCCACTGGGGCCAGGGCCAAGGCTCCGTCACGCCAGCCGCCTGCCCGCCGTCCTTCTACCCCCCCACCCCCCCTACCCACCCTATACCTCCAGCTCCTGG